TTTAATTAAGCCTATAATCAGCTCTGGGAAGGTCGGGGGGGGATGGAGAGGGAGGGTTGGGGTGGGTGGGTTAGGGTTGTTTTTTTGTTTTTTTGCTTTTTGTAAAAATATTTAAAAATTTTCAATTAAAAAAAAAAGGTTGAGAACCACTGGTGTATAGGCATCGGAGTCCTTTTTGACTGAACTGCATTTGCATCCTACATCTCCTGTTTTGTATCTGAGTTCCTCGTCTTTCTTATTACTTGGTTGATTGCCCTAAGATTTATGCTTGGAATTAGCTCCTAAAAATTAATCTCCCTCCCTTTCCAGTTTTAGGATAAGGTGAGCCAATTGATTTCAAAAAATGTTCTTCCTGGTTCTTGTGAAGTGTAGCTCATATCCTATCAGAAACCCCCATGCAGCTATTGTAAACTGTGGCCTCAAAATCCAAAGTTGTCTCAATGGCACCATCCACTAAGTCAGTGGTTTACTTCAAAAATTCTGTGTTCTCTCATTAGAATTTTCATTGAGAATATAGAGAAAAAGACCACCACCTATGCCACCATCTCTTTGGCTTTCATGGCTATCTGCTCATGGTCTCTTTATATTGTTTTCAAGTTCTTTGTCATATCATTCGTCCCCACATGAAAGAGGAGAAAGGGTTAATAATCTATGGACTTAATTATTTTAGTAAGCCTCTCAGTCACATCTTCGATCTTTGCTCCTGGGAGACAGCAAATCTCCCTAGAAAGATAGTCCAGTTTGAAAATTACTAATTCAATTCCCCTGAGTAGTAGGTCTCCTATCACCAATACATGCCATTTTTTCTTGAGGAAGTCTCTATCTACCTTTTTCCTATCATTGGTACATCTTGATGATGTCCCTTCTCCAGGTGTCTGCATGTTTTCTTCCAAGGAAAGGTTATAAAATTGATTGTTTAGCTCCAGTGAGGCTGGACTGAACTGGATTGGGTTGGATTTTTTTTTTCCTTCTATGACTAACATGTCACCATCTGTCTATCTATAAAATTCATTTTCTCTGTTAGTTAATGTTCCTTATTGTGTTCAGTTTGATTGTAGTCTTCTTTCTTTAGTTGAGTTTCTCATTTTGGTGCTTGAGTCTCAGTGGCTAGACTTTTCTCTAGACCAGGGGTCTTCAAACTTGGCCCTTTTATGACTTGTGGACCAACTCCCAAAATTCCTCAGCCAGGAATTGTCACCATCAGCTAGTATGCCTGGCTGAGGAATTCTGGGAGTTGAAGTCCACAAGTCATAAAAGGACCAGGTTTGAAGACCCCTGCTCTAGACCCTTTGCGTTTTCCTCTGGACCCTTCATTTTTCTTCAAGATTTTCAGTTAGTTTACATTTGGTACAGATACAATTTGGGTCCTCGAGGGTAAGAATATAAACATGGCACATATTTTACAAATCACAACAGTATTACACTTTTTTTGATAATTGTGTTTTTTCATGACTATATTGCTGTAATTGCTGTTGTAAATAGTCCCAGTAATTTCAATACAATGACCCTTCTTATTTTTATTTTTTTTAAAAAGGTTTAATGCATGGTTTCATTTTTTTAGGGCCTTTCTCAGCTTGCAATTATTATGACAGGATATAGGGAAAATTGTAGACTTATAAAAATTGTAAGAATTGTAAATTCAGTAACAGGATCTCTTCTTTTAGCAGAATTTTAATACTTTGTAACTTAATATAATTTATTAGTCTTTAGGTTCCACGTTTCCTGAAAATTTTAGAAATGTTGAAAATATTATTTTAAAAAATCAAGGTGTAATTAATCATTAAAAAAATAAAATATTTTTATTCCTTTTTTCTCATTTTAAAAATTATAAAAATTCCAAGACCTAGATTTCTTTTAATTTAAAAAAAATTAAAATGTATTTAAAATTAATTTAAAAATTCAATTAAAAATTAGTTTTTAAATGAAGATTGGATTTATGGAGAGTTTTAACCTCTTGAGCTTAATGCCGAAAAGGTACTACCTCAACCCCTCTTATAGCTATTATTGAAGTAAAACAGTTTATACTTCACGGCTTCCTCTTAACTTTATTCTTTCTGAACTCTTCCTTCTCCTCCACTCTTTCTCTTGCCATTCATGTCTCGCCGGAGCTTAAGTGGTAGTGGTGGTGGAGTAAGTAAGTAAGGAGCCCACCTCATGAGTAAGGAGGCCTCCAAGGGCTTGAACTCTCCAATGCAGCAACCTACCTGTCCCCCTTGAAAGTTAAAAGCCACCCAGTGCACAAAGTATTTCCCCATGGTGAAGTGACCAGAGTCAGGGTAGGAAACCAGGTGGGGGATGGGATGAGAGTCAGCAGTGGGTGATTGGAGCAAAGCCCAAACATCCTAAGAGCTTTGCACTTACTTTGCCTTTGAGCTGACTTTGGGCAGCATCACCAAGTTGGGGTGGTGAATCAATATGGGGAAAGGAAAATAGCAGCTGCTTCTCCTTCTCTTTATTCCCTTCCTCCTCCTTTTCCCCCACCTTCACCTTCTCTTCTTTCTCCTCCTCCTCCTCCTCCTTCCCCACCTTCTCCTCTTTTTCCCACTCCTTAATGCCATGGAAGGAGAAGGAGCAGCAGGGGCACCCACAATGCAGTGCTGCCACCGCCGTTCTTGAATTCTCCATCTCCTTCTTCTCCTCTTTCTCTTTCACTTTATTCTTCTCCTCCTCTTTTTGTTCTCTTTCTTCTACCTTAGCAGCCACATGAAGAAAAAAACTACTTCAAGGAAATGTTCGTCCATAGCAGGTGGCCACTGTGCTCTGCCAATGCTGTCGCCATTCTTAAATTCTCCTCCTCCTCCTCCTCCTCATTCACCTTCACCTCTTTCTCAATCCTTAGTAGCATTGAGGAAAAGCTGCAATAAGGAAAAGTTTGTTAGTAACAGGCAGCCCCACACATTGCCAATGCTGGTGCCACCATCACCATATTACAATCTTTCTCGTATTGATCCTTGGATCGCTTCGGGTGTTTCTCGATAGATACCAAAATGGAGATTTTGTATGGCATAATCAAAGGTCAACAGAGCCTATGATTTAAGCTGGTGGCTTATGTTCAAGTTCATCTTCAGCCATCCACACTCGTTGGATGACTTTGGACTAGTCCTTCTCTTCCGGACTGCTATAATATAAAGGGTAGTTGCTGTAGGGATAAAATGAGGGAAGATCTTTATGTAATAGTAAAATAATCTTTCAGGACATTAAAAAATATAAAATGAACAAGGATAAACAGTGGTCCGAAATTTCAGGGGGGCAGGGTCTTCAACAAAAAAGCAGGGTATGTAGGAAATATTTCTTCCCGTACTCTTCATTTTCTCTTCCAAATCGACTATTCTGAAGCTGCTTTTCCTTAAAAGAAATTACTTAATTGACTTCGATGACATTCAGCTTAATGTATAATTTAGTCATAACTCTGTCACTGGAACCAAGGCAAATTCTACAATGAGATGGCCTAAACATAGCAGTTAATATAACTCAATAGGAAGAAGGTAATAAACTGCATCTACTTAGAGACTGAAAGTTTGTTTACACCACATGGGTGTAAAGTGCGGCTTTCTCTGCTCTGACAACAATACACAACATATAGCGCTGTGGCAGAAATGTGAATTCAGATAAAGAAAACATATTGTATTAGGGCCATACTATAGCACTCCAGACCATGAAGTAACTATGGCAGAAAAACATGGTCAAATTAATATAGTTACTTCTCTTGCCTGCAAAGATAAAGGTAATGTGGTTTCCTGGTTTTTATGATTTAGCTCACAAAAACTGTGGTTTTGTTTGTAACAAACTTGCATGCTCTTCCTCCTCCTGCTGAAGTGGTACCTAATAACCATTTCCCATTATTGTAAAAGTTACAAAAAAGTGTTTCAGCCTCCTCTTCCCCGGTGTTTGCCTATCTACCATTTGACATTCAACAAACCCTGGGAAATTTCAATGACACAGCTTGGAATGGGTTCAGTGACCTCAATCATGCCCTCCCCACCCACTCCAAAACTCCTTTCAATTTGCCAAAAGCTTTAAGTGGACAAAACCCAGATGCCTTTTTCTTGTACTTCAGTAAGAACCCATTGGACTTGTAGATTCCTGTCAAAATGATGTATGTAGTTCATCTTCTATTAACTCTTTCCATGAGGGAAAAGATTTAAAATCTCAATTGGAGTCCAGCACTAGGTTTCTTTTCTGAGCTCCTTTATTTTGCAAATTCAGCAGTTCATCAAGAGCAGCATTTCCTCCAAAATGAATATTAAAAAGCTGTCACTGATCAAAGTTATGAAGTACAGGACATCAAAGACATTACTTGGAAGGGAGTGCAACCGAAATCACAGGGATTTAACAACATGGAAAGCATTTGTTTTTTGAAATGTTATTCTTCCAAAATACATCTTTACAATCATTATATTCATTAAAGACATTTTATATAAAAATGGTTGATAATAAGTTGCCTTTCATTAGTCCTGAATGGGTACACTTGAAAAAAAAATCCATTAATTAACGTGGGGCTCCCTAGTTAGGCAAAATCCTTTTAGAATCAGCCACACTGCATTTTGTGCAATTTATTTCCAACTCAGATTGGAAATCAGTTCAGATTTGGATTTAATATGCTTTGGGACTGAAGCTTAAGAAAGTTTAAAACCTCTGTAATAAATATCTGAGGTACATTGTTTATCTAGCTAGAGGTCTCTCCAACAGAAATTGATCCTAGAATATTCTCTCTAATTTGGCTGGCCTCAGGCAGGAATATAACAGTGTATGCTTAAGAATAGATTTTTATATGTTATGACAGGGGTCTTCAAACTTGACAACTTTAAGACTTGTGGACTTCAACTCCCATAATTCCTCAGCCAGCCCTGAGGAATTATGGGAGTTGAAGTCATAAGTCTTAAAGTTGCCAAGTTTGAAGACCCTTGTGTTATGATATGCAGATCACAAAGGGGATTGCAATGTATTTTTATTTTTCTCCCTCTCTCTTCTCTTTTTTCCCCTGTCTCTTTATTTCTCAGAAACATGTGCTGTTAATAATGGAGGCTGTGACCGGACTTGCAAGGACACAGCCACAGGAGTACGCTGCAGTTGCCCAGTTGGATTTACCTTGCAGCCGGATGGGAAAACATGCAAAGGTCAGCTTCTGTTTGCTTTGCAATGCATCACTTCTCTTTATCAGCTTCAGTACCAGAGTTCAAATGCACATAATTATAATCAACTCATGGAGTTTTATACTCTTAACTGTATTAGAAAAAATCTGATTGTGTTATACACAGCTTTTCATAGCGTTACAATTACATTTTAAATGATCTATGGAGGGCTAGAACCAGACTTTATTAGATTGAGAGTGCACTAAAAGAAGTCTTATTGGTTTCAATTAAGCTGCTAAATTGATAGCTAAATCTGGATCCAACCCACTATCTAAGCTTATTTCAGCGTGGATGGAAACATTTTTCTACCATCCTTTAGATCAGGAGTCCCCAACTCCCGGTCCATGAACCAGTACCGAGCCGTAGCATGCCAGCAATCAGTCCGCACAAACAAACAAAGCCCCATCTGCGGGATGCAGGCAGCACACAACCCCCCCCCCTTTTCCACAGAAAAACCTCTCTCCACGGAACCGGTCCCTGGTGCCCAAAAGGTTGGGGACGTCTGCTTTGGATATTTCCCATGCTTTAGTCAATATATGATATATAACAAACTAAGAAAAAGAGGGAAATATGACATTTCATGTTGCAAAAGTTTGTATTCATTCTATTTTAAAAACTACTTCCATTCAGGAGATTTAAATAGGAATGTTTCATTGAATATTTGCAGAATGAAATGATGCCATAGTTATATGTGTGTGGATTTAATATGATTTAATATCACTGTTATAGTTACTGTAATTAATCATTATAAACAATGATTAACTGATATAATAAGATAATTTAAGTTATATTCCCTTTCATTTTTCACCAGTTTTAGTGATTTCATTGTGGATATTGTTATAATCAATGTACCAAAATACAGACTGCCAGAAGACCATAGGTACTAGTCAGAGTAATAAATAAATGGACCTAATTTCTAGATGCTCACTATAGTAGAAGAAGTTATAAATTGTGCATTTATGTTTCTTGATAAGCAGTTGTTCGTCAATTATTTGCTTATTTGTTTATTCATTTATTATCAGTTTTTATACTGTCTGAAACACACAGCTCTGCATATATTGTCTGTCTGACTAATGTGAGTTTTCCAGATATAGGCTTTTCCCAGTCGTGCTCCCTAAAATCCTATTGGCAAGAAATGCCAAGGCTGAACATGGGAGTGTCCGTGGTCTGAGAATGTGCTCTTCCATTGACCTGTAGGCCCTTCCAGCCAGTTCATCAGGAAAATGCACTTTTCTTGAAGGACTCTTTATAATCCAATCTGAATATATATGTACATGAATATAACTCAAAATACATTATTGAGGCTGGGTGATAATTTGTTGAAGAGCAGGCCTTCAGATGAATAGAATATTCCATATTTTTATTTCAATATAAGTCTTCATCTTGGATCTTTGAGACAGATGACAGCCATGGTGGCGCAGTGGTTAGAATGCAGCATTGCAGGCAAACTCTGCCCACAGCCTGGAGTTGACTCAGCCTTCCATCCTTCTGAAGTTGGTAAAATGAGGACCCAGACTGTTGGGGGCAATATGCTGATGTTGTAAAGCACCCAGAGAGTGCTGTAAAGCACTATGGAGAGGTTTATAAGTCTAAGTGCTATTGCTATTGCTCAAAAGAAGTTCTAAGAATAATTTCCCCTTAAAATTTGCTTCTCATTCATCTCTGAAAAATAGAGAGCCACTTTTGGGAACTACGGGATAATGTGACAGAAACAAAGCTATGTGGTGGGGCCTTTTCCTGGATACGTATGCCTAAAATTGAACTTTTAACCAACTTTACTGACTTGCAATGTTGTATGAACAACGAGAAGATCTATATACGTACAATTCAGCAGCAACTACAGCATCCTTTGGCCAAAGGTTTTTTTTTCTCCTATAATAATTATAGTCCTAGACCAACTGTATAATCTTTTATTTAAAAATTTATTCTAGTCTTCACCAGAAGTGTTAATGTACAATTCCTATGCCTCAAGCCAAAGTGATCTAGCCGCGGTAGCGGGTAATCTAACTAATATTATAACTCAACATTGAACATACATTCAGAAGTCATATTTCATCAATAATTAATATAGCCTTTTTTGGAAGTTGCTTCAATTCAATTCATTGTTGCACATACTTAGCATGTTAGAAGTACAGGGTGACTTGCCACTGCGCTATTAGTAATGCCCTTTGGAAGATGCTTTGAACATCCCCGTTGTTGGTGAATTTAGAACCAGACTTGTTTGGAAATGCAATATTATGGTTTTGTTAATAAGAAGGCAGGGATCCATTGAGAATTAAATTCACTATTTGTAAAAACCTTATCTTAGTTAAAGAGGCAAGGTTCTGATTCTATTTTAAATATTTCTACCTCATTTATTTGAATCAATAGTAGGTTCAAAATAATTTTTCTTCATGAACAAACAACTACGTTTGGATTTTTTTTACTGTTTAAGATTATGTAAATTATAAAGTCTGTGAATGATCTCTGAATGATAAAGCTTTCTAAATGTATCATTTTGCTACATGAAATTTAAATATGTGTAAAAAAATAGTTCCCAACAAGTCTTAATTTTACCTATTCCATGAAAACGTTATGCAGGTAGTCCTCAACATACGACCACAATTGAGCGCAAAATTTCTATTGCTAAGCGAAACATTTTTTAAGTGAATTTGGCCCCATTTTATGACCTTCCTTGCCACAGTTGTTAAGTGAATCACTATGGTTGTTAAGTGAATCTGACTTCGTCATTGACCTTGTTTGTCAGAAGGTTACCAAAGGTGATCACATGATCCCGGGACACTGCAAGTGTCATAAATATAAGTCAAGTGCCAGGCATCCGAATTTTGATCACGTGACTGTGGGGTTGCTGCAGTGATCATAAATATGAAAAATAATCCTAAATCACTTTTTCAGTGCTGTAACTTCAGTCACTAAATGAACTGTTATAAGTTGAGGACTATCTGTAGTGATTATCTAGTAATGCTCATGGTACATTTGGGATCTGAAATGTCTAAAGCAGGGGTAGGCAACCTTGGCTCTTTTATGACTCGTAGACTTCAACTCCCAGAATTCCTGAGCCGGCAGTTGGCTCAGGAATTCTGGGAGTTGAAGTCCATGAGTCATAAAAGAGCCAAGGTTGCCTACCCCTGGTCTAAAGCGTCTGGTCAAATACAATTGAAGGTCCACTGATTTTTCTGGGCTCCAGCTATTGTTGTAATGTCAGCATCTAAAAAAAATATTAAAATTGAGCTAGAGAAGAGATGTCAAAGATGGGTGAAAAATATGTGTGTAGGAAGATGCCGTAACAATACAGTTTTTATCTTAAAATTGTCCATTGCATAAAGAAAGTGGATAAAAGATTTCTTTTTTCTTTTTTTTGGATTAATGTAGTAAAACTGTCTGCTGAAAAAATTGGATCATACATAAATATTTCCCTGGACATTTCTTTATAAACTATGGAATTTGTGGCCAACAAAATTTGATACTAGTTAGGTTTTGTTGGTGGCTATAAACGTTGGCAGTTCTGTGCCACTTCTGGTAATCTATGCCATATGTTAGTTGCTGGAGATGGTTGAGAAAAGAGATACCTAGGCCTTTAGCTGATCATTATGAAACAGGAATTCAAGGGGTCTGCGGTTTGGCTTTCTCTATATTCCTGTGAGGAGGGGCAGAACCTGAGGCAATGGAAAAGTAGCATCCATGTCTTATTGAATGATCTTGAAGAAGATTGATTACATAAATTGTTACGATTACTCTCATGAGTATCCACTAGCAAAGTTTAAAGAAGTCAAGATGGGATACAATTGAAACCGTCATCTTTTCTTTTTTTGACAGCCAGATTTTTTAATTTAATTTAATTTTTTTCCCAGACAGCCTATGATTTTCCTTTAATTTCTTATATCTTCCTCCCTCCCCTTAGTTATTATTGACAAAATATTTATGCTGCCTTCACTTACAAGGCCAGTGGCATCTAATATATTTAAAAGACGATAAAATATAAAGAGCAAATGGATTCTCTCTTTTGATTCCAAGCAATTGATATGACCAAGCCAAAAAAGATTTCCATTTTTTTTCCTTTGGTGGTTTGCAAAATTTTGTTTGTGTATGCCTCAATGGCACACTATTATTTTTGTACATCTGTAGGTAGCAGAAGATCCAAGTCAGCCCCTTAGTGATCAGTTTTTGCTGCAAAGACCATTTTTAATTATTTCAGAAACTACCACTCCAGTCTCCCTCTTGAAGATGCAACTATCCTAGATAGAGTTTAGAATTTATCCCCTCCCTTTCCACTCCTTACCACCTCCGATGTGGATGTAAATAAAGACAGAATACCTAAGATTTCCTCATTTTCCTGAGTCTTCTCTAGGACAGGGGTCCCCAACCCCCGGTCCATGGACCAGTACCGATCTACAGCATGCCAGCAACCGGTCTGCACAAACAAGCAAAGCCCCATCCGCGGGATGCAGGCAGCACACAAAACCACGCCCCCTACGGTCCATGGAAAAACCTCTCTCCATGGAACCGGTCTCTGATGCCCAAAAGATTGGGGACCTCTGCTCTAGGATATGATCTTTGCCTTGGAAGTAGAGAGTTAGCTAACTTCCCAGAAACAACACAACTGGGTGGGGATGCAATTAGCCCAAAGAGGCACAGGATGATTTGACTAGATTCAAACCATTTTGTGAGTTGCTCAGCCACAGCCTGGTCATGTAGGACATGCCAGATTAGCTCATGCTAATGTGAGTAGCTCAAAGGCTTTTTTAAGGTCAAGGAAAGCCAAGTGTAATAATGGTTTCCCCTTTTCTCAGAGTTTCTCCATGAGCCTGCAAGCCATGAAAATAGTGTCAGTGATGCTAAAAACTTTGACAAAGCTGCATTGATTGATACTGATTTTCACGGTGTTACATAAGCAGTGGTCGAGGACCCGCTTTCATTGTATGTGATAGGAAGCAAATTAGGTGATAGAGCAATCTGCCAGGTCACCTTTATTCTTGAAGAGAGGA